TGCGTCGTCATAAAGGTAGGGTACCTATAGTCGCCTTTAGTCTAGATGCCTGGGCATGTGTCACTTCCCGCTGACTAGTGAGTAGGCATAATAATTACGTGGCGCTCCACGTTCACGGCAAGGGCTGTGCTCGGGAAGCCTGAGGTTTATCGATTTTTGTTGCCGATGTTGGCCGGCTGGCGCAGCTGCCTTACGGGAAAAGAAGGACAAGGGCCCTGTAGTGAGCAGGACATGTCTGGGCTTACGCACTCTGGGAAAAACCTGAATGGATGGGAATGATGGTGTGGTTGTCTTGTTGAACTAGGACAGGCTGCATAAGAGCCAGTTAAAATGCCTCCGCCTGACGCCAGATTTCCGCTGCCGATACGCACGATGCGCCTCCGTTTTGCTACCGGGTATATTGCGTTAGTGGCTCTGTTTTTTAGTTTGTTGGTATTTTGTTAGTCACAGTCAGCCTGACGCCTCTGCTTCCGTCGTTTATTTCGCACTTCGGTTGCTGACGACAGAAAATGGTCTGAAACTTAGATTAATAAAGGGTTTTGGACACATTCGAATAATTCATTTGACCTGATTGTTAAAAACTCAACGGCCTCGATCTATGGACTTCTTATCGTAACTAAGAGCTTAGACCTCAGAGTTATTAACGCATCCTCTTTGTCTTTTTGCCTCTGCATCCGCCGAAAATGAGCAAAGTTACAATTAAATCTTAAGCAGGATTTTAATTTCGATCGTCATGCAGCAGCGTATTTCAGGCACACCAGGAGTCCGGCTTTTAAGTGTGCACCTTTTCAGTTGTTGGCAAAAAAACTATTTGTTAAAAATTTATTATTTTAGTAGTGCGTATTTGTTCTTTTGCCTTTTGGTGTCGTCATAAATTAAAATATATTTCGAACAAAAAGATGCACAAGAGTACTTTCCTGTGCTCTTTTAATAGAAAATCACGTCTTCAAATTTTATGCACTAAGTAAGACTTTCGGTTTTACAAAGTGTATAATCATGCGGTTTTTAAAGAATGTTCAATATGAGTTGACCCAAGTGTGAAAAACTCTAGGCGTTTGGCGGGATTTGAA